TGCGTGAGTTTCCTCTGGGTGCTCTGGTTTCCTCCCACAGTCCAAAGATGTGCAGGCTAGGTGGATTGGCCATGCTACGTTGCCCAAAGTGTTCACGGATGTGTAGATTAGGGGGATGGGTCTGGGTAGGATACTCTGAGGTTTGGTGTGGACTTGTTGGGCCAAAGGGCCTGTTTCCACACTGTAGGGATTCTATGATTTCTGTTTTTTGTTCAGATATCCAGCCTCCACTGTTCCTTGCAAAAACTGAAAGAACATTAACTCTGATTTCTCTCCACAGATGCTGCCAGACCTGCTGAGTTTTTCCAGCAATTCCTGTGTTTATTCTACTGTTCTTTGTTTTATTGTTGATGTTACCATTGTACCACTTTAACGTACGTTTACCGTAATGAACCTTGCTATTAATTAGTATGTAATAATTCTTTACCATTTTTTCAAAACCGAGCTTATCTCCTGCCAAAGGAATCATTTCCATAGGGTATCAGTAACTTAGACCAATTGCAATAAGGAGGAGCGATGGCAGTGAATCTAGCCAAAGGTATGCGTGAACATTACTATAGCGTACACCTCTGTTGACCTATCATAGAATCCCTGAAGTGTGGAAACAGGCCATTCGGCCCATCAAGTCCACACCACTCCTCTGAAGAGCATCTCACCCAGACCCATGCCCCGGCATTTCCACGTCTAACCCAAACATCCCCGGACACTATGGGGCAATTCAGCATGGCCAATCCATCTAGCCTGCACATCTTTGGACTGTGGGAGGAAACCCAAGCAGACACGGGGAGAACGTGCAAACTCCACACAAACAGTCACCCGAGGGTGGAACTGAACCCGGGAACCTGGCGCTGTGAGGCAGGAATGCCATCCACCGAGCCACCGTGCTGCCCTAAAGAATGATTACATTCCACATGCATTGATGGTGAGATTTGAACCTCTGTCCCTGGAGGATTAGCCTGGACTGATTACAGCCCAGTGACATTACCACAACACCACCAGCCCCTGTGCAAAAGGGGGACCTAGGGACATGATTTCCTCATAAACCAGGAAATGCTCCAACAGGTTCCAACAAGCTCAACACAAGGTTAAAGAGAGCAGCTTTCAACTTGGCACTTTGCAGCCTTTCAGACTCAACGCTGAGTTCAACATTTTCAGCTTCTGACATGTACTCCCATTATATGCTTCATCTCATTTTGCTGTTTTTTTTCGCCTTCCGATAGCTGTTGCGCATCGCTTTGCCATTCACACCTCCTCTGGGCCGTATCCCATGTCTATTCTGGTGATGGCAGGTTCCCATCTCACCAGACCATGGATCGTGCTGTGAGCATCAATGTTGAGCATCGACTGGCGCTGCTCAGGAGAGCATATCTGCTTCTGTAACAGCAACTGAAGGATAAATTTAGCACACCAGGGAAAGTTACTGTGTTCATGCTGGAAATAATGCCATGGAGATCTCCCCATCCACCTGAGGGCTGCAGACAGACCCTCAGTTTAATGTTCACATCTGAACGATGGTGCAATTTCATACAGGAAGAGCAGTACCACCAACGCTGCCTGCGCAAGATCCCGCCAATCCACTCGGAAGCAAGATACACCAACACCAGCATCCTCAACCAGGTCAACACCGACAGCATCGAGACACTGAACTCCCTCGTTCGGCTACAATGGGGCTGGGCACATTGTCCACGTGATCGACACGAGGCTCCCCTCGCAGGAGCTCCAAAACAGCAGGCAAGCCCCAGGTGGACAGAGCAAGTGCTTCAGTGATACCCTCAAGGCTTCACTGGAAAAACATGGCATTCCCACAGACGCCTGGGAATCACTGGCCCCAAGACCATCCAAAGTGGAGGAGAAGCATCCGGGAAGGAGACCTGGAGTCTCGCTGTGGGGAGAAAGCGGAAGCCAGGCGGAAACAGCAAAGGAATGGCAGCGCGTTCCAACACCCCATCTACCCCTTCCCACAAACTCCCTCTGCCCCAAGTGTAACAGAGCCCGCAGAAGTCGCATGGGTCTGTACAGCCACCCACAGACTCACCCTGAGAGTGGAAGAGAGTCATCGTCATCTGCAAGGGACCCGGCGACAATGATGTTTTATTTTCCTTTAGGAAGAGTCATGTAGGATTCAAAATGTTAACTCTTGTTTCTCTCTCCACAAACACTGCCAGAGCCTGTTGACTTTCTCCAGCATTTCTCTGCACCTTCTTGTGGAATGAAACAAAACTGGCAAGAGAGATCCTAACACTTCAAAGGGCGAAGGCATAAAAAGCACCACATTAAACCCGTCCAGCCAATGCCTGCGGTGATCTGGCAAATTTTTCTGTATGCTTTACGTATGTGGAAGGTTCGATCTGTTTTCACTTCAGTCCTGCTGAAAGCAGGCTTTATTATACAGCAACATGGGGGGGGGGAGTAATTAATAGCTGCGGGAGTAATGTGCTGACAGACTGAAACCATACCCACACAGCAGTCAATCCTAGGTGTGGGGTGATTCATCTCCAGGCATGGCATCCGAGCTACCCCTGGTACCAAAAATAAATCAATAACAAGGGCAGAAAGTGAACAGCACCCACCAGATGGAGGGCAGCTAAGGAGGGCACAAACGCATTGTTTCTTCTCTTCGATCACCGTTCCAACTTATTCTTTCTTTTCTCTTGTTCCTCC